TAGGGCTGTGAGCTTTACCGTTTGGATTGCTCTTTCCGCCAAGCCCGTGGTGGTGTGTCCGTCAGCTCCACCAAAGACCAGCACGATGTTGTATCTATCTGCTACTAGTGCCACGTTGTCTGATGTCAATCCACCTCCCTGATCCGTGACCAGGGTCTCCATCGGTCCGAAATAGCGTATCCAATGCTGAACAATAGCGCGTATAATGTCTTGCCCCTGCTTGGATGCCAGCAAACAGGATATCCGATAGCGGATGCACTCGTCGATCACCATGAGCCAGACTTTCTCAAATAAGAAAAATAGATCCACTTGCACGCGTTCGTTGAAATGCAAAGCCACTGTCATCTTGATGGTTGGTTTGTTCAAGGCTCGTTGACGACGTAGGCAAGTATCGCAGTGCTCGGCCAGGCCTTTGCATAACTCGCGTATATGTGCTGGCAGTCCAACAGCTTTTGTCATGCGCTCGACCTCATAATCCGGTGGATGGAAGAACTTGTAATGAATGCCCATGAGAAGTTCACGTCGTTCTTCGTCCGAGGATGCCTGTGTCAGCTGCTGGGTTAATTTCCCCAGATCGAAAGAAGGCTTGATGATCTTCGTGGCATTCCTAGCTTGATCTGCTTGTTGAGGTCGTGGCCGTGCATTTGGATGCGGTACTGGAGGTGGTGGAGCTGCTGCGTCTGCTCCTTCGGGTTGAGGTGCCGCTGCCGCTGCTACCGGTTCAGCTGCTGCTGGTGGTAATGGTGCTGCTGGTAGACCCGGTGGTGCTGCTGCTGGCTGTGGTGCAGCAGGAGCATGGACATGAGCCCCCGATGCTGCCGCTGAGGATGGCGCCGCAACCTGCATGGATGCTCCACTCGCTGATCCACCCGCAGCCGGTGCAGCTGCCTGATCATCTGGAAGAGGTCGAAACCGACATCCATCAACTTTCGTATGTGGTACTCCTGATGCAGCTCCATGTTGACAACGTTTGCACTTCCAGTACGTAGGTGTCTTCTTGACGTGTAGCATTTTTACCATGTCCTTGATCAATGCTCTGCAGAGTCCGACAGGATACACCGCGGCAAGTGCGGTGCGCTTCCGACCATTGGTATCTGTTCCTTGAAGTTCCGCGTGTGCTGTCGTACACTTAGGCTCTCGATGTTCCTCGAAGGCGCGATGTACTCCGAAAGAACGTGCGCTTTCTGATGGGTAGCTGTAGGTCCTGACTCCAGGCTCCGTGAGCACATTGATCTGTCACATTGTCGAACATCTCCCGCTGCAGGATGTCTCCTGCCAATCGTATGTCCGTCAGCTTCCATATGGAGGATCTCGAGGGGTTCTCCATGATAACTTGGCCGTTCTGCTTGCACAGGCGGGGAAGGTATTCTTGAACCGTCCATGTTAGTAGAGGTCGTTCGTAATCTCGCCGATGTTCCAAATCTGCTGGATCCGTGTTATTGTTCGACTGTGACCAGGGTCTGCAGTAGAGCTCCATGAGAGATAATGCTGGTTTGAAGAATGCTGTGAGTTCCAACAACAATTGTTGATGGTCTTTCCGATGCAAGTCCCAACCGTGTCTGTAATCGATGGGTGGTAATGTGATCAGATGTCCGCGGTGCGCAGCCAATGAAACTCCTGCCGTACCTGCAAAGATCTTGCATCAAGATCGTCTTGTTGTGGGTTCTTTGCATATGTCGTAGACATGCTCGTACGTGTTCAGGTCTGATCACGGGTCGTTTAGTTGTCTTGTAGAATTTCTCGTCCATGATCTCATAATCTCGTGACATTGTCCGCTGTTCTGCGTATTCGAAGTTGTCTGGCCAGTGGTCTCCTGAGTACGTTGGGCAATCGAAGCTTTTCCATCGATCATAGAATTCCTTTGCGTCCAAGTTCTGGTATGATGCATGTACCTGCACTGGTTCCTCGTAGGTAACTGTCATAGCCGACCGTATCTCACTCTGATTCTGCGCTTCGGGATCCGGCTGTCGGGAGCCAGTGACGTGTAATTGAACTCGAGGACGCTTCTGCTAGGAGAATGTCGCGAAGAGCTTCTCAATACGCCGTTCAATCAATTCTAGCATATGATTCACCGTCTTCTCCGATTGTTTCTGATCCACATCGATGGGTAAAAGGTAATGTCCAGAATCTGTCAAGAGAGCTCGTGCCATTGTAGGTGCCTGCTCGTCCGGTACGAAGGCCAGGATGCCGTCACCGTTGTCGAAGATGTTCTCGAACAGAATGCCGTTCTGCCGCATAAGTGCGCTGTTCGGAAGGAATCCAGGGCATCGAGCTCCATGACCTCCAATGAGATCCGCCTGGAATGTCGATCCATCTTGCATACCTTCAACCCATGCCTGTCCCTTGAACTCTCCACATGATGCGTCTGACTGACCATTGATGCCCGTGAAAGTTGCCATGGAATTCTGGATCTCATATTTCATGTTGTGGGGTCGATACAAGTCTCGATTCCATTCCAGGAGTGTCTCCGTACCAAGTAGACCTTCTGCTGCTCCTGGATCAATACTGAGTCCGTGCCTAGGGCGTCCTTTCACGGTATGTAAGACCAGGTTTGGGTGATCCTCGACAGTATTGACAATGCTCATTTCCAGGAAAAGGTTGCCCCGATTCTGCGAGATGTCTTCTTCTTCGTGCTGTCGATTGGCATGTGCCATCATTGAATTTATCTCCACATATCCATTCCTGATGACCACTAAAGAGTACTGCTTATTTAATTTCTGTGCCAATGACAGTGGTGCTGCTGATGAGCTCGAAGCCTGTGGCATCGGCTTCCTCTGTCTATTCTCCATTGGGAATGGTGTCGTATTTCCGAGAATCGGTGTTTTGTGCTCTTTCTTGCTCGCTGAATCACTTTTGTCCCAACGGTCTAGCAGATCCACTGTATCCCCTTCAGGTATTTCTTGTTCTGCCATTTCCGGTGCTAGTCCCTGAACATGATCGAGTCGATAATGTTCTGTCTGTCGTACTACAGGAGTCGTGCTAGCCGTCGATGTCGACGGTGATTCGAGATTTATCCACGATCCTGGGGGTCTTGTCGTCATCATGGTGGGTGCCGATGATGCTGTTGGAATTGGTGACGAATATCCGGTTACGTTCGCGTAGTGCTTGCCTTTTCCTTTCGACTTGCCAGATGATGGACTCGATGAGGGGCCAGAGCTTGCTGAGGCGTGTCTATCTTTTGCTGGGCACCCATTTCGATCATGCCAGCGACTGCCGCAAAGATCGCATCCTTCCTGTCGTTGACTGGAGCCGCCTTGACGATCATTGCTTCCTCCTTTGCTCTTGCTCTTGCCTTTGCCTTTACCTTTGGGAAAGCGACGACGAAAACCTCGGCCTTGACTTCCACCACGATTCTTACTTTTCCGGGACTTGCCACGTCCCTTGCCTTTACCTCCGAAGTAGGTCTCAGTGTAGTCGTCATCTTGATCGAGTTCAAGGTATTCCGTCATTTTGCCGTCCGTGTCATACTTCGCCCAGATGTCCTCGTACTCCTGGTAATACCATTCTCCATCTTGAGTGGCTGTCCATCCGCTGTCTGCGTCATAACCCCACTCATACTTATTGCCCTCGTAGGCGTCATACCAGTCATCTCCTTCTGTGTTGTCATCCACTTCACCTGATTCGCCGTACCAGGCCCAGTCATGATGTTGACCTGCCTGGTCCTGCTTGCCCAATCTCATCACCAATCCGCGTAGGGTCTGGTACTGCGTGAGATCTCCTGCGATGTGTAGCTTCAAATCGTCCATTCTTTTCTCCGATAATCCACAAAACTTCAGAAGAAAGTGACTGCGTCCCGTATCATTCATGTCTAGGCCTCCTTCCCCAACTGCGTCCTCGAAAGCCAGCTCGAAATTCGCGATCCATGTAGGTAGATCCTGATGATGTCCTCGCTGACAATCAAAGAATGAGTCAAGAACAACTCCAACTCTGTCCTGATCATGTAATTCATATAGTGCTCTCTGTTGTTCTAAGAATACTTTGACTCCTGCTTGTTCTGCTGCAATACCCAGAGCTGGATTCGCTGGGACTGGTGGTAGCGCTATAGCCTCATCTCCTCGGTGTTGTATTCCATCGCGCTGCATCGTGAAGTTCATTGCCGCCGTGCAAGGTGCGCCTTGAAGGCGCGATATGATCAATGGTCCGGTGCGCTCATATCTGTCCTCATCCGTAATTCGCCACCATAATCTCAGCTTCTGCATATATCTTCTGAACGTATATCCTCGAATATGTGGCCGCCATCCTGGCGGTACGAACTTCGTGAACTCCTCGAGTTGAAGGTTATTACCTCCTGGGCCTCCGCTGAACTGCTGCTGCTGATGCGCCATGAGCCATGATGGCGTAGAAAAGGTGTAAAACAACAATACTCCGTAGATCTTCATGCGTGTTCGCTTGATCCGTGATGATGTCGGCGTGCTCGCCGTAAGTGCTCCACTCGTGGTAGATGCTGTCGGCGTACTCGCCGTAAGTGATCCACTCGTGGTCGATATGGATGGCGTACTCGCCGTACGTGATCCACTCGTGTGAATCTCTGATCTGGAAATATCTGCCTGCGGGTGCGCGGGCGCGCGCTGGAGAGCGCGCGAGGGTGGGCCGGCCGACCGGGTGACCCGCGGAGCTGACAGTTCCGCTACCAAAGCGGGCTTTTCACCACTTGAGCCACAGTACGTTTACGACCAGTGGCTATAAAAAAGATAGCAGCGCAAAGATAGCTTGCGTCCAGCGGTGGCGACTAAAATATTCCTCTAAAGAGCCTCTGAAGTTCTACAATCCTAATGGGATCCTGCTTATAATCTCACTCCTCCCTCCTCCTCCTCCTCCTCCTCCTCCTCCTCCTCCTCCTCCTCCCTTCTCCTCCTCCTCCTCCTCCTCCTCCTCCCTCCTCCTCCTCCTCCTCCTCCTCCTCCTCCTCCTCCTCCTCCTCCTCCTCCTCGCTTCCCCCTCGTCGTCCCCTTCCTCTCCTGCCCCAGCGCGGCGAGAGCGCCCGCCGCCTGCCGCGCGAGGCCACCGCCCGGGTGGAGGAGGCCGAGCAGGCCGCCCAGGAGGCCCGAGCGGCGGGGCCCCCCAGAGCTGCCCCCCCCGGAGGGCCCCGCCCCCGCGCGGCACGCACCCGGGCCTCCCAGGCGGGGCCCGAGCTGGCGGGGAGGAGGAGGAGGAGGAGGGCAGGAGGAGGAGGAGGAGGAGGAGGAGGAGGAGGAGGAGGAGGAGGAGGAGGGAGGAGGAGGAGGAGGAGGAGGAGAGGAGGAGGAGGAGGAGGAGGAGGAGGAGGAGGGAGGAGGAGGAGGAGGAGGAGGAGGAGGAGGAGGAGGAGGAGGAGGAGGAGGAGGAGGAGGAGAGGAGGAGGAGGAGGAGGAGGAGGAGGAGGAGGAGGAGCAGGAAAAGAGGAGGAGGAGGAGGAGGAGCAGGAGGAGGAGGAGGAGGAGGAGGAGGAGGAGGAGCAGGAGGAGGAGGAGGATGCGGAGGAGGAGGAGGAGGAGGAGGAGGAGGAGGAGGAGGAGGAGGAGGAGGAGCAGGAGGAGGGAAACGCCGATGCATGGGCGGTGCAGCTCCACGTGGGGCCCGACTTTCTCCAGGCCGACGCCGCCGACGCATCGCCCATGTCGTCGACGCATCGGCGATGCACCGGCGGTGCATCGGCGATGCATCGCGCGATCCTCCGACCCCATCTGCCAGGAGCCCATCTGGGAAGCCTCTAGCGCATCCGTGCGAGCGACGAACGGTATAGGATGACCCGTTCCCCCCTCGGGGGCGCCTGTCCCAGGGCGGCTGGGAAGTTTATCAGTGGGGGTGCGAACTTTCCAGCCGGCCTGGGACTCCCGCACCCGATGTCGGACAAGTTGCCTCAAAACGATGTTCGTCGCAAAGGCTCCCGAAGCACCCTCCCGAGGGCCTCTGTGCCTCCCAGCGGGGGCCTGAGCAGGCGTGGTCGGAGGGTCTCATTCTCCCTCCATTTCCATAGGATCACACAGCGACGAACTACACCAACTTGGGGGTCGCATTCATCTTTTTGTGCGAATGAAGCCGCGGCGCCCGTCACGTGCCTCAGATGCTGTTAGCGTCGAACTCCCCCCCGGTTGTGCGCGGTCCCTCAAAAATCGCACTTCCATGAGCAACGCCTGGGCATCACTCCAGACGGTATGATGGGGGCGCACGAAACGTGAAAGATATGGAAGATGGATCCGGCCGCGAAGGGCCCAGAAACCTCGTCGAAGAGCCCGAGGAAACTTCGAGGGAACCAAAAAGAACAGACGACAAAAAGTGCCGACGACAAAAAAAGGGCCGACGGCAACGAAAAGTCCGACGACAAGAAAGAAGGCCGACGACAAATTCCAACGACAAGAACATTTGCGAACGACAAGAAGGGCGGCGGACGACAACATCTGCCAGCGGCGCAGGGCCGCGACAAAATCCGAAGTGGCGACGACGAAATGCTGTTGCAAGGCGTGCAACGAGAATTGCGGATGCGCCGTTCGCACTGCAAATGCATAGGGAATCTTGACCCCTGGCATCGCTCGGCGAGAACCATCGAGGAGCATCCTTGATCATTTGGTGAAAAAGCCACGCACGAAACCGAACAAAAACACAGGGAATGGACGTCCGAGCGATGGCGAGTGACCACGGGGCAAATGTGTCAACGCGGTTTGGTCGGGCGATTCGTTGTCGCGCGTTACCGCGCGCTCGGAGGGCGCGCCCGGAGGGCTCGCGCTCTCGCGGGGAAATCCCCGCGCGCACGGATGCCTTCGCGCGCGCGCGTGGCGCGCGGCGGGATTGGCGCGCGCTGGAGGTGCGCCGATGCCGTCGCGCGCGCCTCCACTGCGGGCGAAGCGCGAGGCGCGCGAGGCGCGCGAGGCGCGCGAGGCGCGCGTGCGCGCACCGGGCAGGCGCGCGCGTGCAACGAAGTAGTGATTCACCAGGAAGAGCGAAGAGGCCGTCCGCGTGGCACACGGCGCGAGGCCAGCGCCAACGCGAGAGCCATGATTCGGGGCGGGCCATGGTGTCAGAGTTGAGCTCCGGTAGAGGGAAACAATTACTGAACACTCCCCCTCTTCCCCAAACTCAATGTTGGCACGCGCGGGGGAGACTGCGGTCAAAATGCATCTCATCAGACCCACCGCCAACTTTGAACATTGGGGGGAGGGGGAGGCGTTGACGGATGAATGTGGCATGTGTCCGCTAATTTGTTCCGAGGCCTGTCGCAAATTGTTCAACGCAGGGTGGCACATTTCAGTTGAGCATGTTTGAAGTAAGCTCAACGCTCCCTAATTAGGCTTGCCTAAGGGGCTCATGCTTGGTTAAAGGTCAGTGCCTCGTATTCTTACGTTGCACGTTGCTCAGAGGCTCCCCGGGTTCCCCGCCCCCGCCTCATGCTACTTCAGGTTCCCCGGGATCCTCGCCCCCGGTGCCTCGTATTCTTGTTGTGCTCGTTCTAAGCAACGCCGAGCAATGCTAAACAATGCCTAACAATGCCAAGCAATGCCAAGCAATGCCAGGCAATCGCAAACA